GAGGCCACTAGAAGGTCTCCCTGGATCCTTCCAACTTAGAGACAAGGATGTGGTTGTGGGATGGTGTCACATCCCTTGCAGTTTGGGTATTTACTCTTGTGAAGGGGAGGATGGGTTTGGTGCAGCTTGTCGCTGCTGGTGCTGCTGCTCCTGGAGATGTTCACCTGGTTTTTCTCCCTCATCACCACCTTGATGTCCTTCTGCAGGCCAAGCAGTCCCTCGCCACACTGACCAAGGATGTCCCCAAGCGTCACTCCTTGGCCATGCCAGGTGAGACGGTGCTGAACGGCAACCAGGAGTGGGTGATGCAGGCTGACCTCCCGCTGACGGCCGCCATCCGGCAGAGCCAGCAGACCCTCTACCACTCGCACCCCCAGCACTCGGCAGACCGGCAAGGTGAGCCCCCCAGTATGGATCAAGGCATGGAACCAAACCCATTTTGGGGAGCTGCCTGGTTCCTCTATCAGAGGCAATAAAAATGGGCAAAACGCCCCGAAAGTAGGGTTTGTTGGAAGCACATCGGGGGCTGTGTGCAGGGTGAGGTTTGCTGGTGTGACATTAACTCCCCGGTGCCCTCTCTGCCTTCCAGCGGTCAGAGTGAGTCCCTGTCATTCCCGGCAGCCATCCATCATCTCCGACGCTTCCGCGGCTGAGGGCGACCGGTCATCCACGCCGAGCGACATCAACTCGCCCCGGCATCGAACGCACTCGCTCTGCAACGTAAGGCACTGCATGATGGGGGGCTGGCTTTACCAGGGGGCTCCTTCCCCCCAATATGGGTCTTGCCAGGTCGGGGGACAGGCTCTGGGGATGCTGCAGGTCCTCCATTTCCCAAAAAAAATGTTGGTTTTAAGTTGGGCTACAGGTTGGAGGTTTGCTGACCTGGAGAGCTGCGTTCCTGGGGTTAATCCCAGCCCCACAGCCACGGGGCTGCCAGAAGAAGCTGCATTTTGCTGCGGAGTTGGGGGGTCCTGGGCTATGTTGGGGCTGAGTCACTGAAATCCATCTCCTTCTGCTGCAGGGGGACAGTCCTGGACCGGTACAGAAGAACTTGCACAACCCAATCGTACAGGTAGGACACACAACCCCATTTAATTTCCACTCTTGAGACCCAGTTCTGTGCTGGTCAGCAATTTAAGGGGACTCAGAGGCACCAATTTGGTTCTTTCTAAAAAAAAAAACCTAAAAAGAGCAGAAGCCATCCTGAATTGTGAGTCTGGGATGTCTCAGTTTTCCATGATTTGCCCCAAAATCCAGGTGTGTTGTAGGCAGTCTCTGTGCTCGGGGCCCAGCACAGTGCTGATTTTTGTAAGGCACATGATGAGGATAATCTGCTGTGTTTGGCCCTGAAATGGTGGGGTTTTGGAGCAAGGCCATGGGTGGACCCTTGCTCTGACCTTCCTTACGTTCCAGGAGCTGAAATCCTGAACCAGTTGAATTAAGAAACCAAAATCCCAGAAAAGTGGGGAAGGGGCAGAATTTCACTGCAAATCCAGATATTTCAGGAGTTTGGGGGTTTTTTTTTGGTCCAGAACTTGAACGTTGCGTTGGGTTGGGACCCGGACCCTGCAGTCTGTTGTCCCTGGTGTGGGGTGGGTGAGTGAAAAGCTCTATGGCCAAAAGCTCATGTCCTCTCCCCCCCCCTGCAGTCTCTAGAGGACCTGGAAGACCAAAAACGGAAAAAAAAGAAAGAGAAGATGGGTTTCGGCTCCATCTCCAGAGTGTTCGCCCGGGGGAAGCAGCGCAAATCCCTCGACCCCGGCCTCTTCGACGGTACGGCCCCCGACTACTACATCGAGGAGGACGCGGACTGGTGACCCCCCCTCTCCCCATCGCCGATGTACATACCCCCCACCCAGCCCCGCCTGTGGACGTGTTACCTGTCGTCTTGGGAGCGATGCAGCTGTGTCCTAACTTCAGTTTTTTCCCCTTTTTTTTTTTTGGGTTTTTTTTTTTAATTTGTATTTTTATTTTTCTATCCCAGTAAAAACTTCGTCGTCGCTTGATTTTGT